TTTTTTTTTTTTTACGGATTTAAAAATCCGGATGTTCAGTTATCCTACAGTTCTTTTGAAGACATAAAATAAACCCATATTTGTTTATATTCGACTCTACCTCATATAGAAGATATTGTTTCCTCCACTCTGGGGTGATATGAGACGATAGATGCTCCGCGAATTTCATTTTGTCCAAACAAGTGTCCCACAAAACCTCTGGTAAATCCGAGAGCGTCTGTCCCCCTTTCCCCGTCGACGCGACTTTTGTTCTGTCAGGCAACTTGCTGGCTGAACATGCGGTGCGGAAGCGCAGCTCTGTCCTCTCCGCTCCTTCTCACTCCACTCTGGGCTCGTCCCGCTCCCAGCTGCTCCCGTCCCGCATGCTACTTTACAGGGAGCCAAGCAGCGGCCGCTGTACAACAGCTGTTCACGGCGGCACAGCGAGAAGGTGGCTCAGTGACTTTGCTCGGTCCCTCCCTGGGCCGCTCTGGGGACATTGCTTACGGCCATGCACCTAACAGTAATGACGTGGTTGCGCCAGCAGGGGGCGCTCTGGCACAGGGCGCTGTTGGGACCCCCTGATAACTGTTGCTGCTCCAGATAAACTGCTCCTTTCCTCCTTAAAATCTGTTTATTATTATGACTGAGGAAGCATGTTTCAGTCCGAAGGGTCTTGTTGTTGGATTTCTGTAAAAATTATAATAATAATAAAAATCATAATAAAAAGTTAAATAAAATAGAAAATAAGTTACTTTACAGCAGGGGCGGAGCTAGATGGGGGGGCCAGGGGTAGCCATAGTCACCCTAAGCCAATCATTGCCCACTCCTACCATTTTTTTCTCTCAAGTAGAATATTCAAAACATTTTAATTTTATATTTATTAACAATTACTTGTCAACAGTGGCGGTTCTAGACCAAATGTACTAGGGGGCCAGGAGGGGGCCAGGAGGGGGCCAGGAGGGGACCAGTGTGTTTGCATGGGGGCACAGAAAAGCATCAAATAAAAAACAGGGCCGGGGATTGAAATATATTAGGATAGCTGCATGAAGTCAAATTTTTATTCAATTAGGTTTAATCGAAATACTATGCCTTATTAGCTCAACATACATTCATAATTTAGAAATTTAACATATTTTTTTACTTAATTTAAGGTAAAATTACAGTTTTCTATAAAATCTGATTTAGAACTCAACAAAAAACTGATATATTCAGCTGTAAAAATTTGAGCAATTTGTTTTGAAAAAAAAAAAACATTTAGCAGAAGTAAACTGTGATCCTTTCTCAATACCACTGAAGCTATCACCTTATTTCTTTAAAATAATTAGAAAAAACAGAATTTGTAAAGAACAAAAATGAAATAGATCCAAAGGACCTATCAGTAACCATGTCTGTTCCAGCGCAGATCATCATTGGAATTTCTTTGAGTATTATGTCTTCAGTAATGGGGCCATAACAGGGGCCAGGACATGATCTACAGGGGCACTTGCCCCCGTTGGCCCCTGTCTAGAACCGCCCATGCCTGACAACAAAAACACTGTGGTTAATTATGCACATCAATATACCAACATTAAATATGATAAATACAGAATTCATGCTCTTTCAGAACTAGATTTTGTGTTATATGCCATAAAAAGAAAATGATGTGTGTCTGCAAGTAATCTAAGAGTCTTCACTGAATCAAATATACTGTAAATTATATTGTAATAAAAACCTATTAAATTATCAATTTATGTAGATATTAGTACTTGTAAATATCAATTTAATGTAGAATGATATTGATAAAAGTAGGATAGTAATGACAATGGAAAAGATGTCCGTTCCAGAACTCAAACCTCAAAGAATTTTATCCTATATAACTTTTATCTAGACGGATGTTTAAATATATCCATCTATTTGTTAGCAAAGGCAGTAGGAAACTATAGTTTGCCTTTATTTAGAAATATGGATGTTGTGCTTGTTCCTGTTGGAACAGTGTAGATTGACCCTGAGGTTCTGGCACCTATCCACTTTTGTCCACCCCTCAGTGTACATTGGCTATTGCCTGGCCACCTTTATAAATATGTTCTGGCTATACCTCTGCTCTACAGCTAAAGTGGTAGTCTTTTACTGACGCCCTTGGACACCTGTTAAGATCTCTATAATTATTATTAAAGATCAAAGCCAGGTAAAAAACATTACCTTCTACTGCAGAGTTTATTCACTAAGCGTGCACTCTCTGGTTATTAAAAAACTGTATGCTGTCCAACTCACTTCATCTTGTTATTTTTTATTCTAAAGACTGAACTTCTGAGCTAAAACTAGAGAAGCTCACATTTCCCCTAAATGCAGGAATGGCCATACAGAGTTCTAGGCTTGTTTTCCTATACCTGACTTATCTCACTGTCTATTGTAAAAAAAAAAAAAAAAACTGATGGTAAAGGCAGAGTCTGCTACCGGAGTCCCAATTTATTTGTAGCAATAAATTGCACTTTTGAGTCATTGTTTTTAGACCATTATAAAGTTCCACAAGAACAGGATGACAATCATGCCTTTATTTGCCTTGTTAAAAAGTTTCTATCATGCTGCAAAACAAATTTCAGTTTTGTCTTATACGGCAAAAGAAAGAAAAGTAATGAAGGGGAAAGCAGCAAAAAAAAAAAATGGTTATAATTATGGTTATGCTCTCATTTTTCCTAATTTAATATTGGATTTTAGAAAAAGGGATCTGCAATGAAAAAGTTAATTCATTTTTTAGGTGACTTGATGACGTTTATTCACTGTATTTAACTGCCTATTTGGGGAGAACTTTTTCTCAATAATATATATTCTTCATATAGTGACATAAAAAAGTATGTCTATTTAAGACTCCCATAGGACAATGTCTTCTGTCACTAGATGCTGGTTCAGGAGGAGCGAATCCTGTGAAGTTGATGACTCGATGAAATCAACTTGATTTCCTTACGTTTGATAGCCTGCAGGATTTTCTTTTCTGAAGTAGTTTCCACCTTTAATTATAGCTTGGGTGCCTTTTTTTTTTTTTNGATCCTTTCTCAATACCACTGAAGCTATCACCTTATTTCTTTAAAATAATTAGAAAAAACAGAATTTGTAAAGAACAAAAATGAAATAGATCCAAAGGACCTATCAGTAACCATGTCTGTTCCAGCGCAGATCATCATTGGAATTTCTTTGAGTATTATGTCTTCAGTAATGGGGCCATAACAGGGGCCAGGACATGATCTACAGGGGCACTTGCCCCCGTTGGCCCCTGTCTAGAACCGCCCATGCCTGACAACAAAAACACTGTGGTTAATTATGCACATCAATATACCAACATTAAATATGATAAATACAGAATTCATGCTCTTTCAGAACTAGATTTTGTGTTATATGCCATAAAAAGAAAATGATGTGTGTCTGCAAGTAATCTAAGAGTCTTCACTGAATCAAATATACTGTAAATTATATTGTAATAAAAACCTATTAAATTATCAATTTATGTAGGTATTAGTACTTGTAAATATCAATTTAATGTAGAATGATATTGATAAAAGTAGGAAAGTAATGACAATGGAAAAGATGTCCGTTCCAGAACTCAAACCTCAAAGAATTTTATCCTATATAACTTTTATCTAGACGGATGTTTAAATATATCCATCTATTTGTTAGCAAAGGCAGTAGGAAACTATAGTTTGCCTTTATTTAGAAATATGGATGTTGTGCTTGTTCCTGTTGGAACAGTGTAGATTGACCCTGAGGTTCTGGCACCTATCCACTTTTGTCCACCCCTCAGTGTACATTGGCTATTGCCTGGCCACCTTTATAAATATGTTCTGGCTATACCTCTGCTCTACAGCTAAAGTGGTAGTCTTTTACTGACGCCCTTGGACACCTGTTAAGATCTCTATAATTATTATTAAAGATCAAAGCCAGGTAAAAACATTACCTTCTACTGCAGAGTTTATTCACTAAGCGTGCACTCTCTGGTTATTAAAAAACTGTATGCTGTCCAACTCACTTCATCTTGTTATTTTTTATTCTAAAGGCTGAACTTCTGAGCTAAAATTAGAGAAGCTCACATTTCCCCTAAATGCAGGAATGGCCATACAGAGTTCTAGGCTTGTTTTCCTATACCTGACTTATCTCACTGTCTATTGTAAAAAAAAAAAAAAAAACTGATGGTAAAGGCAGAGTCTGCTACCGGAGTCCCAATTTATTTGTAGCAATAAATTGCAGTTTTGAGTCATTGTTTTTAGACCATTATAAAGTTCCACAAGAACAGGATGACAATCATGCCTTTATTTGCCTTGTTAAAAAGTTTCTATCATGCTGCAAAACAAATTTCAGTTTTGTCTTATACAGCAAAAGAAAGAAAAGTAATGAAGGGGAAAGCAGCAAAAAAAAAAAATGGTTATAATTATGGTTATGCTCTCATTTTTCCTAATTTAATATTGGATTTTAGAAAAAGGGATCTGCAATGAAAAAGTTAATTCATTTTTTAGGTGACTTGATGACGTTTATTCACTGTATTTAACTGCCTATTTGGGGAGAACTTTTTCTCAATAATATATATTCTTCATATAGTGACATAAAAAAGTATGTCTATTTAAGACTCCCATAGGACAATGTCTTCTGTCACTAGATGCTGGTTCAGGAGGAGCGAATCCTGTGAAGTTGATGACTCGATGCAATCAACTTGATTTCCTTACGTTTGATAGCCTGCAGGATTTTCTTTTCTGAAGTAGTTTCCACCTTTAATTATAGCTTGGGTGCCTTTTTTTTTTTTTTTTTCAAAAATGTCTTTATTGTAGAGTAAGCCACATTTTTTATTGCACCCTTCATATATATTATTTGCCCCTGTGGTTTAGAAATATTCTGATGAGATACCAGACACACTGCCTAAGTGTTGAAGTTTTAGGGATCATTATGAGCAACAGAATAGTGCAATAATGCCCGCCCCCCACATGTTTCTGAAAATAGGACCATAAAATATCAGCTTTCTAACAGGACGTGCATGTTTGCTTGTTTGACAACATTTTGGGTAACCATAAACCCAGAGATTTGTGGTATGTAAGCTAAGGGAGCCTTAATTGCAAACTCATTTCTAAAACCATAGTTTAGTCAGCAAGCTGCAAACAGTAAGTTTTTTACTTGGCAAGTACCCAGCAAAACTAATCTACCAGCTAACTTTAGCTTCTAAACTTTATCCCTCTATTAAAAACATGGAAAAGGGTTAGTATAATAATCGGAAGGATATGAATTTAAAAAAAATGTTATAGCGTTTCTGTGTCAAACTCAAAATAACAATAAATAAATGTTTTTAAAACAATTAATATAGCAGTAATACTATTATTTAAAGTACCTATGATAGACTGGCGATCTGTCCAGGGTGTACATCGCCTCTCGCCTTAAGACAGCTGGAGATAGGCACCAGCACCCCTCACAATCCTGCTTGGGATAAGCATGACAGAAAATGAATGGATGGATGGATAATAGTATTTATAATAGCAATAATAATATTTAGCTTATTTGGCTTTGGGGAAAATATTGACTTCACTGTTTCATCAGTTAGATAATATTAGGTTTTCTCTTTTAGTTTTTTGGGGTTTTTTGTTTTGTTTGTTTGTTTGTTTGTTTGTTTGTTTGTTTCAAATCCATATCCTGATATCTACAAACAGTGATATTTTTAGTTAATGGTTATCATGGTCTAATGACTACAAACATTTTATAGTTTTAACTAACTTTTATTGGTTTACATAATAAATTTATTACATTTGTTTCATTTCTTTTACATGATTTTAGGACAACTTGAGTACATCTTTAATATTTTAGACTAAACGCCTACTGAGCCATTAGCTCAGACAGGGACAGCTGTTCCAAACTTAGGCGGCTATACTTGCTCCAATAGCACCCTCTGCTGGACATACGATGTCCCTACATAAACGATTATTGAAAAACACGACGAAGACAAATTTGAATAGTAACTTTATCGGGTTTTTAAATAAATACTAAATAACTAATTTATCCAACTTGTATCCGCGTTCAAATAGAGTTTTGGGCGAATGATGATTTTGATCATTCAAAAAAAAGTTAAAAAACAATCCAGTGGACTTTGTTTCCATGTTTGAAGACGTTTCGCTCCCCACCTAGGAAGCTTTTTCAATTCAAAATGTCAGAAATAACGTTTAGTTCGAGGCTTTGAGGACCAAAACCAAAGCCTTAAATCTATGTTTAATAAGTTTTATTTTAAAAGAGTTATAAGTTATATTGTCTTGGTGTTGGCTATTTTATTTTTAGCCAAATCGAAAAGTTGTTTGAACAGCTAGTTCAGTCTGCCAAACGGTTTAGTCAGCTTGGTATAACGTCAAAATAAAATAAAGTTTGTAGCACCGGTTAACTGGTGCATATTTAGAACGTGGTTAAAATATAATAATAATAAAAAAAGTTTTAATTTCTTCATCGAAAATAAGTATGATTTCTAACGTTTCTAACGTCCACAGTCGTTTAACATTACATGTATCAATCGTTTTGTATTCGGTAATGTGTGACGTCTAAACAATAACCCTATATATATATAAAAAAAGAGATCCAAAATATAGTTTCTTATTCAATAAATTACAAAAAAACCAAAGGCAAGAATTGTATTACTAGTAATACAATTTTTGCCTTTGGTTTTTTGTAATTTATTGAACGTTCAGTTGGTAAGAAACTAATGTTAGAAGTAGTAATTTACTACTTCTAACATTAATTTCTTACCAACTGAACGTTCCCTAGTTCGGCATGAGAAAGTGGAACTAATTCTCAGTAGCCGTTGTTTTACCCGGCGCCTTTTGATGATAGTACTTGAGACGGACCAATAGTCGAAACAAATCCGACTGTTAGGGAATTTTAACAGTAATTATTATTTTAAATAACCGTTTAAACACTTCGCCTATTTTAGTTTGCAGCTGCTCTGCGTTTGCCGATAACGCATCGCAAGGAACAGCCGTCTATTCGACTGAAACTGTTCGTCGTTAAGCAATAACAATGGCCTCTGGTTCCCCGTCATCCTCTCCGGACACTGCGACGGGCTCAGGTACGGATCCAGCGCGGCCAGATACTGGGGAGCCTCTCGGTGGAGCGGGCTCGGACTCTGATTCGGACTTGGGGTTGAATAAGTTTGACTGCAGCGCAATGGAGATGGGAGAGCAGTTGGAGGGAGAGGAGCTGGAGCTTGAGTTTGAGTCCGCAGCCGATCGTGTGAAGGATCTCCTACAGATAGCCAGCAGGGACCAGCTACTGTACCTGTATGCCCGCTATAAACAGGTGAGTCGGAGAAATCAAATAAGATTTCACTGGCAAAGAAAAGGAGTGTGTTGGATGTAGGTGGTGACACCTTGTGGCTTTAGGCAATAGTGCTCTACTTCTTAGCAATACAACGAAAAGACTCCTGGATTCTTGTACTTTTTGTAATTCAAGGGATCTGTGAAATTTCATCTCCTTTTCAGCCAATGACAGTTTATTTTCAGTCTTTCCATGTATATACCTTCAGTCAGCCTCCAATAAAGCCCAAACTGTGACCAGCTTTTGTGCCCCTGCTGAATAAAAGTCTCCCCACGATGATGCTGCCAGTCTGCCACCATGTTCACCTTGGGGACCGTGTTGAGGCCAAAAAGGCAAAAGGACGTTCATTTTTCGATATAGCTACAGCATCTAATTGCCAATTTGCTGTGGTCTCTAAATGGACTGATGCAAAGGGGAAACTATTTTGTTTACTACTTTATTTAAACTAGGTTTTAATCTTGCCACTCCTCTTTAAATGTAAAACCCAACTATAAATCTAATGATTTGTAGTTGTGATAAGAAAGTAACCAAGTATCTAAAGTAGAAAGTATCCAACCTTAACTGCAGATCCTTGCATATCTTCCAGAATTAGGAAGATCATCTCTATGATGCTTCCCTGGTTTATACTTGTCTGGCCTTTGGCCTCTTGGTTTAGATGGATAAAAACATGCATTAAACACCAATCAGATGTTAGTTTTTGTTAGTCTGTCATATATAAAATAAAATCAAATAAAACATTGTTTAATTGTTGTAATTTTGTATGTTACCATGTTGTAACAGGAAAACAAATGTTTAAAACCTCTAAAAAAAAGAGTAAAAAGTAATTTTGTAAGGTAAAATAGGCCGACAGATTTGAGCTTTCATCAAATACTCCACTGACTAATTGCTTTCCCCCATTATTAACAGGTCAAAGTAGGAAAGTGCAATACATCAAAGCCTGGCTTCTTCGACTTTGAAGGACAGCGAAAATGGTATGCTGCCTAAAGATTTCATCAGTTAACAGCAGATTTGTTTGAAATGAAAATGCAATTTTAACTTTTTGTTGAAAGTTAAGATCGTATATATGTTTGTACTTGTGTGTTTTGTGGAAAAACACTTAGTGTCACAAGTTTTTATGTACTGTATTCATATAACTAAATTCTTTTTTTTTAACTTTATTTCTCTTTCTTTAATATGTTAGTTAGTAAAGCACAAAGCTTAGTTCCACATTTAGCTCTTAAAGAGAAATAGTAATGACTTGTGAGCAGCACTGTGTTTACATGGCAGGCAAGCCTGGAAGCAGCTCGGAGACATGGAACCGGAGCAGGCAATGCGAGAGTACATATCCCTTGTCAACGTGTTAGATCCTGAGGGTGCCACAAAGGTAAAAAAACATTCAGATGTGATTAGTTAACTGTTTTCTAAAACATGATAGACTAAACTAATAAAAATAATAAAAAAGTTATAATGCGTCAAGGTATCTGGACTTGTTTACCATACTTTAAATGAAAAAAATTATTTCATGTTAAGTTGACATTTTTAGTATTGTGTCCCATCTGGTGTGATATACTGCCTTTTTGTAAATCTTATGCTTATTACAACATCATGAAACTTATTTTGTGTTCAATATAATGACTGGATGTAGTGTAGTGTCTCTGCCAGCAGATGCCAGTCTTAGATTACAGTTGTTTACTCAAAGTCTTTGTGACCACTTTGGTTTAGACACGCAACATAAAAAGTATGATAAGTCATACATTATTTCAGCTGGAACATAAGTACATATAAAATAAAACTTGTCTGGTGTTGTTTGTAATCTTTTAAGCAATTCTTTACACTGACTGATTTCAGTTAACTTTAGGGAGAGTTATTCTGCCATGAACACCTTTTCCTTTAGGATATGAGAATTTATATCCAGTTTAAAAAAAATTAACCCTGGATGTCTAGCAGAGTGGGATTGTTTGGATTAAAGGGTTGAAAACAACACACAAGAAATGCAGTTCTCTGAATATGTTTTCTCTCTAACATAATTGTTCTACTGGAATTTTTTTAATCTCACTTATTTTCTTCAGATAATCACATACACAGTTATCTTTTCAGACACAGTTATCTGTGTCTGATAAAAAATCATGTCTTACAAATGCATTTATTTATTTTTGGAAAAACTATGTTGGCTAATCTGGCTATATGTAAATGAGTCAATCAGAAATATTTTTGCTCTTGGTGATAATTACGGCCATTTTTGAGCTGAGTTAACCTGCAGTGGTTAGTAACCTGCATCAGGATTTGATTACTTTAATTACTATTCTATGTAATTTTTCAAAATTCCATCTTAAGGAAGAATTTACCATGAGTTCACACCAAATGATCTTAAATGGATTAAATTGTAAGCATTATGTTGGTTCTCAGTGCATTTGGTGGAACTATAGTACTGTCTGATGAAACCAATAGTGCAAGAAATTACATCAGTTTCATTTTAACTATTATATAGGCAGGAAAATAAGTATTTGAACACCCTGTTATTTTGCAGGTTCTCTGTCTTAGAAATCATGGAAGGGTCTAAAATTGTCATTGTAGGTGCATGTCCACAGTGAGAGACATCATTTACAAAATAAAAATCCAGAAATCACAGTATATGATTTTTTAACTATTTATTTCTATGATCCAACTGTAAATAAGCATTTTAACACCTGTGAAAATCAATGTTGATATTTGGTACAGTAGCCTTTGTTTGCATTTACATCTAGTGTAGTGTATTACCAACAGTAACATTGGAAACGGTGGTCCCAGCTCTTTTCAGCTCATTGACCAGCTCCTCCAATGTAGTTCTGGGCTGATTTCTCACCTTTCTTAGCATCATTTAGACCCAACCAGGTGAGGTCTTGCATGGAGCCTCAGTCTGAGGGAGATTGACAGTCATGTTTAGCTTTTTTTTCTTCTTCTAATAATTGATCCAAAGTGGAGCTTTTTTCACCAAGCTGCTTGGCAATTTCCTCATAGCCCTTTTCAGCCATGTGAAGGTGTACAGTTTTGCCTGCCGTGTCTTTGGACAGCTCTTTGGTCTTGCTCATGTTATTAGTTGGGTTCTTACTAATTGTATGGGGTGGACCAGCGTCTTTATTCAGTTAAAAACCTCAAAAAGGTGCTTCTAATTTAGGATAATAAATGGAGTCGAGGTGAACATTTTGAAGGCAGACTAACAAGTCTTTGAGGGTCAGATAGATGGTGTTCAAATCCTTATTTGCGGTTGTATCATATAAATAAATAGTTAAAAAATATCATATACGGTATTGTGATTTCTGAATATTTTGTTTTAGATTATGTCTCTCACAGTGGACATGCACCTAGGACGACAATTTTAGACCCCTCCATGATTTCTAAGTGGGAGAACTTGCAACATAGCAGGGTGTGCAAATACTTATTTTTCACACTGTTGGTACAGTGGGGCCAAAAAGTATTTAGTCAGCCAATGATTGTGCAAGTTCTCCTACTTAAAATAAATAGAGCAGTCTGTAATTTTGATCATAGGTACACTTTAACTATGAGAGATGAAATGAGGGGAAAAAATCCAGGAAATCACATTGTAGGATTTTTTAAGAATTAATTTGTAAATCATGGTGGAAAATAAGTATTTGATCAATAAATAAAGTTCAACTCAATACTTTGTAACATAACGTTTGTTGGCAATGACAGAGGGCAAACGTTTTCTGTAAGTCCTCACCAGCTTCACACACTGTAGCTGGTATTTTGGCCCATTCCTCCATGCAGATTTACTCTAGAGCAGTGATGTTTTGGGGCTGTCGCTGGGCAACACGGACTTTCAACTCCCCCCACAAATTTTCCATGGGGTTAAGGTCTGCAGACTGGCTAGGCCACTTCAGGACCTTGAAATTCTTTTTACGGAGCCACTCCTTTGTTGCCCGGGAGATGTGTTTAGGATCATTATCATGCTGGAAGATCCAGCCACATTTCATCTTCAAGGCCCTCACTGACGGAAGGAGGGTTTAGCTTAAAATCTCACGATACATGGCCCTGTTCATTCATCCCTCAACACGGATCAGTTTTCCTGTACCCTTTGCAGAAAAACAACCCCAAATCATGATGTCTCCTCCCTCACGCTTCACAGTAAGTATTGTGTTCTTGCGATGCAGCTCTGCATTCTTCTTTCTTCAAACACCACGGGTTGGGTTTTTACCAGAAAGTTCTATTTTCTTTCATCTGACCACTTGATATTCTCCCAATCCTCTTCTGGATCATCCATATGCTCTTTGGCAAACTTCAGGCAGATCTGGACATGTACTGGCTTGAGCAGGGGGACACGTCTGGCACTGCAGGATTTGAGTCCCTCTCGGTGTACAGTAGAGTGTTACTTATTGTAGTCTTTGTTAATTTGTTCCCAGCTCTCTGCAGGTCACTCATCACTTCCCTCCATGTAGTTCTGGGATTTTTGCTCGCCGTTCTCATTATCATTTTGACCCCACAGGAAGAGATCTTGTGTGGCGCCCTAGATCAAGGGAGATTATCAGCGGTCTTGTATGTCTTCCATTTGCTTACAATTGCTCCCACAGTTAATTTTTTCACACCAAGCTGCTTGCCTATTGTAGATTCACTCTTCCCAGTCTGATGCAGTTCTGCAATTTTCTTCCTGGTGTCCTTCAACAGCTCTTTGGTCTTGGCCATGGTTGAGTTTGGTCTGTGACTTTTTGAGGCTGTGAACAGGTGTCTTTTATACAGATAACGGGTTCAACAGGTGCCAATAATACAGGTAACGAGTGGAGGACAGAGGAGCTTCTTAAAGAAGAAGTTACAGGTCTGTGAGAGCCGTAAATCTCGCTGGTTTTGTGGTGACCAAATACCTGTTTTCCACCATAATTAACAAATAAATTCTTTAAAAATCCTACAGTGTGATTTTCTGGATTTTTTTTTCCTCATTTCGTCTCTCATAGTTGAAGTGTACCTATGATAAAAATTACAGACCTCTCTAATTATCATAAGTAGGAAAACTTCCACAAGCAGTGGCTGGCTAAATAGTTTTTGGCCCTGCTGTATATTTTTCAAAAAACGCAAATTTCAACCCTAGCAGTCAATACCCTTTTCTTTCTCTCAAATAAAGCTTTAAGAACTTAAATATTGTACATTTTCATTTCAAACTACTCTCATCCAGGTAAAGTAAAGTCAAGAAAGTGGCTGTGAGATGGATAACAGATTTTTATTCATGAAATATGTGGGGAAAAAATAAAAATGTTGGTCTATAATCACATGATTAAACAGCATGTTCTTCGAACTTCTATTTAAATTGTAATCTGAAAAGGAGAAGGACTTGTACATTGATGCAGAAATTGAGATGCATAATGGAACAGCTACATTAATACAAGAACCCACAGCAGATTCATTCATTCATGCCAAATTTAAAAACATGCAAGCATTTTTTTCTAAGCTATGTCCTATACAATTTGAAAGCTACAAAATTGCAGCAAAAGATGTTAAGAAAAGAATCACTGGAGCAGATGTAATCCTACCGCAGTGGAAGGTAATTTTGGGTGGATCATAAAACAGACACTGTGTGTATGTAGAGAAGATGGACTGGTGGGAAAAAAAGCAACCACTATATGTTTTCAAAAGACCAAAAACTTGATCTGTTTGTCAAAATTGAGAACAGTGCAGGTTATACAATGGTTTCAGGTTACTTCTGTATAGTTGTGGTTGCAAACAGTGGGAGTAGATCTAAAATGACCAAGGTTACAAGCAAACACCAGATAGATACACTCTCTTGTTGTAATGAAAGAAATCCTGAGTTATTTTCAAATGTTCTTAACCTGGTGTGTCTGAGTTGACCTTTTTGCTGTCATTGTCCAATAGCACTCTGTCTGTGCCCTCAAATCATCTTTTTATTTTTAATCCCCATCTTCCTTTTCCTCCTCGTCCCTCAATTCTTAATTTTTTGATGTCCCTTTTTGTAAGAGTGTCACTGTCCACCACAATTGAACTGAATTTCTCTTCAGCCATTCTATGCGGAATAAAATAGTTGCTGACTCGGCCTAACGGATGACAGCCTAGCAAAAGCATATACCACCCACGCCTCCAAAAACGAAAAAGAACCTGATTGCATTAGTGTTAACAAAGCGTAATAGCATGGCAGGAGCTATTCTTTTTGAGGCACGGTTAAATAGTGTAAGTAGGAGTGCATAGATAGAGGAGCAAGGGAGAGAATAATAGCCACAATTTGACCTCCGTTCCCCTCTCAATTGTTGAGCAGACACTGGCTTTATATTACATTATAAGGTAGAAGAGCAGGGCCGGTGCTCAGCGAATATTCTTAGTTTCTGAAGTGAATTAGTTTGTCCCAAAAGTGCACGGATAGTTGCTCTGCTCCATCTCTCCCTCTGCTTTGAAATCAGATTTGTGCAGCTTCTTTTGTGAGTCAAGGATGGTTAGTGAAGAATAGGCTAGGTAATAAATTCTTTGCTGAACTGAGTGAACAATGGAATTCTATGAAAATACAGATGATTAACAAGGGTCAAAAACCGGGAGCTAATGCATGTTATCATGTTCACCTTTATTTTGGGGCACATTTATCAGGAATGAGGTCAGACTCAAATCCATGGAGTTGTTTATTCACAGAGTGCAGAATTTTCTAACCGTTAGTGAGAGGCTATGTTTAGAGGTACCCATGAATGGACATGTCTGACTCATTGTATTTAGTCACTATAGAGAAGTAAAACCACAGCATTGTTAAAAGAGGGTGGCCCAGTGCTCAACACTGAACCAATATTTATGATTAGCTCTTAAAGCTGTGTGTTAAATACTTCATTTGACTTAAAGTTTAGTCTAAGCTGATTTCTGTCCATTGATCTTACAGCAACGACGGGGAGCAGAAAGACGAACCGGTTTTGGAGGAGCAGCAGTCAGCTCTCTGTACCAGGAGGAGATGATAAGGTATTTAAATGAAAAGTAACACAAACAATCAGAGATGCATTGATAAGTCAGAAGGTGACCAGGATAGTATGATTTTAACAGGATCAATATCAATATCCTTTTTTTTCTCTCCACCTTTTCTTCCTACTTTCTGTTAATTAATTAATTAATTAATGCAACTTGATTAAACACTAGAACAGAGGTCTTCAACAGGTCTACTGCATGGGGGTCGCGAAAGTCTTGGTTGATTAGTTTTTTTATATTCCCTCCTGCAATTTTTTGCACTAATTAAAATGTCTTTAAATACACAATAACATGAATTCAACACACTGTAGTAAACAGATAAATGAAAGCAGAAGATATCTTTCAGTCATCAATGCACACATTCAGCGACACACAAGAGCTCTTTCAAACCTGGGCACCGTTTCATTCACAACACCTGTCCCATTAACCAAGAATCAAATTCAGAAATACTTTAATAATCCCAGGGAGAAATTACTTTCGTTACATGACTCCATATGTAATAGAGTGACTATAGGACCAGTTTGATAGAACACAATTTCATACAATATATATAATTAGGGGGTCCCCGCTCCATCTCGCAATCAGTTTGGGGGTCCTTGGCTTTGAAAACGTCGAAGACCCCTGCACTAGAATGTTGTGGCCCTATTTTCTGATTGAGGAAGCTGATTTTAAGTGGAGAAGACTGTTGCTTTTATTTATTGCAAAACTAGTTGTTTGAGGCTTGTTAAAGTTTTTTTTTTATTTTTTTTTACAGTGAATAATATCACAGCTATGTATAATTTCTGACCCAAATGAAGGTGGATCATTAGTCTCATATCTAACGTTTCTTAAAGAGAAAATTGGAACACTAGAATCAAACCAGCCAAAATCAGACCTCTGATCACTTCATAACTTAAGCAAAGACAAACCAGAACTTGCTAGTTTTACTTGACATTCAAACACATTTTTCTTTATTCCGTGAAAGTATTTAGTAGATCTTTTTGGGGCTTTATCCGTTTTTTTTTTTTATTCTCAGCTCAACTTGGCATTGTTAACCACTAAACTTGACGCTGTATTTGATTGTATTCAACAGACGGTAACTGCATTTGCAGGTCTGGGAATGTCAAGCAGTTCCGATTTATGTTAATGAAATCCATTCTCCATTTACTTCTTCCTGGCAAACTCACTGAAGCTCGGAGCCCCCCCATTTTCATTTCAATGCAAAAAGAGCTTTTCAGAGATGAAAATGAGATGTGTGAATTCTGCAGGTTTCCTCCTAAATGGCTGTACATGATTAGTATGCATATTATCTGTAAGAAGCATCCAGAGTCTTCCCTTTTTTAATGACACAATTAAACAGGCAAGGTAATGGGAATGCGCTGAGTACAGCAGACTGAGGTTGCTGCAGAAGACTTCCCAGAGCAATATTCCCATGGCGATATCCAGTCTCACCAAAAATCTCACCGGGAACCCATCGCAAGGATGACATTAACATGAGACAAACACAGCTGAGCAGGCAGAATCATACACTTCACACTGTACGTCCGTGTAATTATCATCCCAAGTCATGCATAACCTCCCAGACATGATAAACTCGCTGCTCTGCTGCTCTTCAATTTCCTCTTTCTCACACATAAACACCCTCCATATTAAACAGCTGAACACCTGTTAACCAGCCGGGTTTAATTGCACTGCTCACTCAACCTCTACTCATGTGTATGTGAATCACTTATAGATGAAAACAGGATTGATTGATTAGAAATATCCCTCGCCTGCTGAGCTAATCACAGGGCCAGAATGCGGCATTTGCAATTCGCCAAACACCTGCCAGATGAATTCCAATAAAAACAAAGATTTTGTGGGGCTCTTGGCTAAAAAGCTTTTTGTTTCAGTTCTCATCTTTTCAGGCTTCTTCGCGTTTCGCTTCCATTGGAACTCCGGCTCAGTCAGGGTCTTACATGAGAGCGAGATGAGAGATGGTGTGAGTGTGTAAGCGCGCCTTTGATGGATTGTGTGGCTGTGTTGCTGATCACCAAAACTCAGACCAGGTAGATGAGTGTTTTCTACCAGTGTGACCAGTTTGGTCTGATGGATGAAGGATATATCTGCAAGTACACCACACTGGACACACACACACAGGTGTGGGCACATGACGTACCCACACACGCACATACTAGATACACAAACACTAAAAACCTTGGTGCTGCCTTGATGACAGAATAGCCTGTGACCTTCCCAGCATGCTTTGCACTGCTGTGGATGTCATTTTGTTTATAAGGCCCACATTAATCATTTGTTTGCATCTGGCATGTTGGTTTGTGTATCTAAACTCCTTTGTCCTGTTGTGCTAAAAGGGATTTATCTAAACAATTGTTTTTGTTTATGTCTTCATTTGTGAGATAATTTCTGTGTTTGTTTATTAAATAGTCCTAAAGCTACCAGGTGTGTGTGTGTGTGTGTGGGGGGGGGGGTGCATGTGTGTTCTTGCTCATCATTCATATATATGTGTCATGCCAGCCCTGTCCAGCCATCAACTAAAGACTGATGACTCGGCCTATTGATTAGTTGCCGGGGGAGACGGATGGTGGCGACGCATCAGGCGGGCTTTGGGGTCATGATAGCCATCAGAAAAAGAAGTAGGCGTGGTTGTGCATGAATAAACATAGCTGCAGTAATCAGGAGTATGTAAATGAAGGTACAGATTCATAACCTTGCTCTAGTAAAGAACGTGAAGAGTTATTCATCTCTAACCATGAGCAGATGAAGGAGAGGTCGCAAAGGGAAAAAAATGAGAAGCTGCAGCTGAGAAGCTGAATGAAAAAAAAAAAAACTGAGGGAAAAGCAAAAAAGAGAGCTTCCTACATAACAATCATTGTATCACATGTAATATATGTAGCCTAACTTTAACCTTCATTCATTGTGGTGTGGAGCTGATCAGGGATACACAGCATTTAAAAAAAACATTGTATTATTATTTAGTATAGCATTAAGAAAACATGATTAACCTTCATTTTTTAAGCACTTTCTTTTTCCATGTTATAATATCCCCACTTACCTTACTAAGCTTTAGCGTCTCTATCACTAAGATGTAAATAGGATATGTGCATATAGGGCAATAAAAGTTCAGTTAACCCATTAAAATATATTGTTAAGCAGAATTTAAATGCATGAACCATGAATTATTAAAAAAACACAACAAAGAATTCAGCTAAGAATTCCTCTCTGATTATTCTACTGCAAACGTTGACCTCACAATTACATTTCCAGTTTAGAACTTGAAAGGGAATTTCTGTTGGACAATTTTTATTCATTTTTTTTTTTTTTTTGCCATTCCATTTAGCAGGAGAAGAAGAAAAGTTGAAGTTTTTTGCAAAATTCTTATTTGAAAATTAGAGAATACTGTAAGTCTACTGTAAGTTGGTGAAACTGGATCCCAATCTGATGCTTTCTTAAAGTTTATAAAATAAAAAATTCTGTAAGTGTTAAGTGAAATGACACATTACATTAGTATTGGGATTGTTTCCTTAACTCTCTAACCAAACTACCCTATGGACTGGGAAGTTCCGATTTTTCTTTTTCACACAAGCGTTAATACAAGAATGCATTAGCTTGATGCTTAAAAAGCTGCAACATAGCTTGACCAAAGTTCAGACAACATGAATTAATCTATAACTTATTTATATCCTAAATATATAGTACATATGAAGCTGCAGTCTTCAATATCTGTACAGAAGGGCTTGCCTGATATAGAAATCTTTAAAGTGACTCGACATTTTGACTCTGCATGAGGGTGGAAAAAGACTAAGGATCTATCTATCGATCTATCTGTCTATGGGATAGTGCCACTGGTTCACTTAGTGTTGGTTTAGGATGTGTGCACACTGTTGTGTTTTTTTTGTTTATTTCTGATACTACTTTGCTATTTTTTTTGCTATCAGTTTTTGATAAATACTCATTGCACTTATAATCGAAATCAATAAATAACAGAAAACACATATCCAAATCTGGATTATGAATAATGTTCAACGTAACAAAATCTCCCCAAGAGGGTTTAGCTGAACTTCACGTTCAGTCAAGTGGTTCACCCGCAGCCTGAGCCAGATGGGACCACAGGAACTTTACAGGTCCAAAGTGACTCAGGAGGAAGAACAACTTTAGACTTCATGCTGCCAGCAACAGGAAAGGTGGGGTTTGGATATGGGTCTTACTGACTGACGAAGCACCAAAGTGTCATATATGCAAGTTTTCTTACAAACAGCAGAGCACTAAATTCAATTAATCTGAATGGCTTGGATGGCTAAGAGGGAGGGGAAAGCATAAAGCTCTAAATGAGATTTTGCTCCCCCCCCATTTTGACCCAGCATCTCTCCCACCATCACCACACCCCCCGCAGCCCTCCTCCTGTCCCTCAATGCAAGAAGGTGATTAGAGGCAGGGAGATATGATTAGAGGTGGGATGGTGCTGCTGTGCATGCCTCTGTCCCTTAGGGATATGGCACATGTAGCTACTGCTCTGATATCACACCGTTTGTGTAGCATATGCTCATTGTGTTAAATGTATGATGATTCATGACTAGTGTCATTGCAACTTAGATAGCTTACAAACTATCAAGTTTAGGTTAATCAACTAGCAAAATTAAATAATGTACCCAGTAACATAAACTGATGCACTTTATAATATTTTATTATTATTATTTTTGCTGTTTCATTGTAAGACAAATGGCTTTGATCATTACTCCGTGTTTCACTCATTTCTTGCTCTCAGGGAAGAAGATAAGAACATCTTTGACTACTGCAGAGAAAACAACATTGAGCACATAAGGAACGCCATCAGCTCTCAGAAAGTGGATGTCAATACCAAAGACGAAGAGGTACAGTGCCAAAAGATATCTGGAGGCTTAGATGGCGAACGGGAGAGTTCATTTTAATAGGCCTACCCTAATAGATAACTGCCACACTTATCTATTGATATTCATTTGTGCTGCTGAAGTCTCTTTTACCAGTATGTTCTATGTATGCAACTGTTTATAAGTTTTATCTTGCACTCTGGATATATCTTACAAACATATCCAAGCAAAGAGCATGACTGCAACACTACACAAGGAGCAGTAGTTTGGCATAAAATGCAGAGACTGCTCCCACTATGGTTGAGCGTTTCCCGGATAGATAGACCCTGAAATTTATCCATCTGCCTTTGATTCATTATCGGTAAAGCTAACTGGCCCGCTGCCCCTTTTTTCAATTACGGTCACTCTTCACAATAAACAGGCATTCAGCCGCTGGGTTCACAGTCAAAGGCCAGATGGTTGAGCCATCTCTGCTGAAAAGGCTTTGTCTGCCATCAACTATTGTGCTCTTCTAGTGCCTCATTGTTCTGCTCTTTAAACAGCAGAGGGCAGTGGCGACGTTTCGCACCAGCTGACATTGTGTTAAGTGTCTGCAGGTTAAGAATGGGGCAAAAAGAGGCTGTGCCTCATCTCTTGCCCTGTGAGTGTGGAACCACAACATCACCTTAGTTAAAATAACTCTAGGCAACAGTGACGGCTAATGAGTTGTAGTTAAGACATGAAAACAGCAAAACGCGTAACAAAACCATAAAAAGACATTCCTTTTTAAAGTTTATATATTTATAATTGTAAAGGATAAACTTACTGGATAATTTTAGTTTATTAAATGTCTGGTTAAAAGAAGCATAGGTCAGTTAGCTGTAAAAGGGCAAAATGAAGTTAAGCTTTGCTTCAAAACAAAAATACTTTCTGTCGTACTGCCCTGCACCATAATGTCTCTTTAGTTAATTTCTAAAGAAAGTATTGGAGCAACTTTTAACTTTCTGTGGCTTCATAGATGAAAAAGTAACACAGCTACCCCTCCCCAACATGTTGCTGTGCAATGTTGCTCATTTAGTTTACAAAAGGGCCACTGCATGTTCCTCATACAAAGATTAATTCTCATAACAATAAAAACAGCTTTTTAAAACACCGGTTTAAAGCAAGTCTGTAACTTTTTGCCACAGAGAGAAAGCAGGTGCCGCCTGACCTGTTACTTCCCAGTTTAGTGATCCTGAAGGCGTCTGGCAACGTTGCATTCTTGCAAAATCAAACAGTTTCCCTTCATGTTTTGGAATCTAATAGCAAACAACTTTGGACCAAAAGTCATAGGGTTACTGGTAAAGACAGAGTAGCTTCTTTAGATGAAATCCTAATTAGAGAGCCAAAAATATGTCTGATCAGGTACGGTAAGTGTCACATCTAGTTTGTTGCCTAGTAGCAACTTTTAGGGTAGTGACAGTAGCTCTTGTTTTTAAGGGGAGCTTCACTGCCATTAAGCGGGGCTTTTTGTCACATAACTCATTCAGAGATTAATCTAACCGTTTCACGTTGGCGGATCTTTGAGAAGCCCCTACAGAGCACTGGTCAGTGCGAAGTGATTTATATTGACCTAAAGAAATATTCAATATATCTCAAATATAGCTGATACTTGGTCAAAGGCTACAGTGTTGCTTTAAGCTTTAACTGTTATAAATAAAAGCAATAAGACTGTATCCCATTTTTTTTAACAAATTTTTATTATTATTTATTATTAACATGGGATTGTGGTATTTTTTTTCATTAGGGTCAATGGTGAATGGCAATCTTGGTCAACCCCTTGCCTAAATCAGATAAATAATTTGTGAGTGGTGTCAAAGAAAAGTTGTGATATATAAAATTTTGATATTATTTGATTTGATAGTTCAGTGATAGAAGAAGATAATAATTTTCACACATGTAGGACACAACATTATGTAATTATTTATGGGTATTTGTAATTATTTTTTCTCATATCATAATTTATTTTTCTTTTTTAGTATCTTATTTTGTCTGTCTTTTATTCGTTTACAGGCAGTTTAAATCCAAAAACCTTCACACCCATGTTTAGCTCATTAAGTTTTTCCATTTAAAATTATTGAAGAATTTTTATCAGTCTAACAGAAGGTCCTTTGGGGGGAATTATATTTTCATTTTACTTTTACTATATAACCTGTTTATTATTTATGACAAAATTGAAATAACTATAAGCAATAGTATCAATAATAATAATAACTATTATTATTCATTTCAATTATATACAAATTATGAAAAAATTAGGTTAAATAGGGTTTAAGAAATTAATTAAAAGGGCATAATAAAGCTACTAGATAGATATGAAATATTGGTTTCTTTAATTTAATTAAATTTAATTCAATTCAATTCACTTTATTTATATAGTGCTAATTCACAAATCATGTAATCCCAAGGCACTTTACAGAGACAATTAAACCAGATCAAACTGATTAAAAGTTTTCTATCTAAGGAAAACCAGTTGATTGCATCGACTCATTAACTCGAAGGTAATCCCTTTACTGTATGTTGAGAAGAAAAAGGAAGTCTGTGATGTCAATAAGTTATCGTATGACATCCACTAAAACTAAAAAGCTTAAATGATTCAATGAAATGTAAGGTCAGGATTGTTACTTTTGCTCTTCATGCCATTTCAGTGTTGCTTTGGAACATCCTGTGCCTGAGTTGTGTCCAAAATATATTATTTAGCATTTTTTTAAAAATTATATATATATTTCTACAACAATATTTGGTTTGTGAAGCTCATCACTCTGTTCACTGACTGATTAATTTCCAGAATTACCATGTTTGGTTTATTTTCATATATTTATTACTTATGGTTATTGTTGCAAACAGAGCAAATAATTGCGATAAGATATTTACTCTGTTTTGTCAAGCCTTTTGTTTAACCTTTGCACGCTTCCTGTATCCAATAACAGGGAGGGGTTAGCTTCTTCTTTGTTTGTCTTTACCCTTTGCCAGTTGTATTATCTGCTAATCCTTTTGGGTTTCTTTCCTGGAACTTTTCCAACTTTTTGCTCCCAGAAAAGAAAAGAGTGTTTCTTAATCAGACAGTGCTAAAAAAGCACCTTCCCTGTGGTCTGAAGAGCACTTATTCAACCGTGATTTAGTGCAATCTATCGTACCAGTTCATTTTTCTACGTGACATAATTAGGGTTTTATCACCGCTGGACCTCAAAGCTAACTTATTACTGCTTTGGTATTTTCTTGTTTTAACCACAAAACTTCTGATGTGCAGTAAAAATGCATGCAGCAGTCTGTAGCACAGGACCTTAAACAGAAAGAATGAGGGAAGGCAACATTGGTATTCTGACCTGACTCATAAGTAGCCATATTAACATACAGCCTGGGTGATCAATATGATTTAAGCAACAGAGTTAGACTTGGAGAGTTTGCTTTACCTAATTGCCCTCACTGAAAAATGAGCTCTGGAGGTTTTATTGGACCAAGGATCTTAGACCCAAGGAAATGCCTGTGAGATGGTGTATGTGCATGGGCAAGTACTTGTCTTGTAGGCTTTAACCTATATTTCTCCATAAAAATTAAAATTAAAGTACTTCTTCTTAAACAAGTGCACATAGCCCTTAAACCTTTTCAGATTATACAACCATCAAAAGACAAACTTTTGTGTGTTATTTAGGTTTTTATGACAGATGCACACAAATTAGTGCATAACTTCAAAGTAGAAGGTAACATAGTGTGGATACATGAGCCTCTGAACCATTTACAAATGTTCTGTGAAGGGCTAATAGGGTTGTTATAGGACATTTGATAACAAACAGCATCATGAGGATCAAGGCCTCCCTTTGAAGTCATTGGTGCACCTTGCCCCTCGGAAAAATGAAACACAACATAGATGCAATGAAAAAGGCTTACAGAAATCCACTTCTTGCGAGGGACGATATGATAATAGAGCAACTAATAATTGTGCTCTCCAAAAATCTCCCCTTCATGAAAATGTGGCAAGAAAAAATTCAACTTTGAAATAAGAAATCCATAATAAGGCAATAGGAAACCCACTTATTTGCCGGATAACCCCAAACTGTATGGCTCCCATTCAGCTTTTAAGAGGTTGTCTTACACATGTACAATTTTTTCAGAAAATGAACAATTTGAACATACAATCTCCCACTGGTGAAACACAGTGGTGGCAGCATCATGCTGGGGTTATACTTCATTAAGCAAGGAAAAAGAAGCTAGGTAGAGTCTATAGGAAGATGGATGGAGCTAAATACAGGACAAAGGTGGAAGAAAACATGCAAGAGGATGGAGAAGACCAGACTGGGGCAGATCTGCCACCTTCCAATCCAGAGTGTCCAGCCAGAGCTAAAGAAAGACTTTAGATTAAAGCATTCTGATATGTAAGAATTAGGCTGATCAAAGTCCAGCCCTAAAACAATCTTTAGATGTGCAAAGCTGGTATAGGTTTGCCCAGATTAAGAGTATTGCCTCAACCACCCTAAATATATAATAAGTGCAGGGTTTATGTTCAAAATGATTGTTTGTAATAATGTGTAAAAAAAAAAAGTGAGTAGGGCTAAGTATTTTGGCCAAAGTCCTGAATCGATTTGATTTTGATTAATACAGTTCTAAATCGATTAATTTCGATTCGATCTGTTTTTACAATAATGAAAGTGGTTTGACTCTGTTTCAAAATACTCATGCATTTTATTTTTTCCTGTCATATTAAACACAAAGCGCAAACTTGTAAATCAGACAGTTTAAACTTGAGATGTGAATAAAACTGTCTCAAAAGTGCAAACTTGTTTATAAAAGGGAAAAAGTGAAGCCTCACACGAGCAAGCAGACGTGACACAGCAGACATGCATAAGCTGCATTATCTTCAATGCACAAACCATATTTGCAGCGCCACTCATTTTCAATGTAGAGGAAAGTCACCTTAATGTCACATATCCAGCACATTGTCTTTAGTTGTTTTAAATCCAAAATGGTTCCAGACATCAGACTTCAGTTGAGACAGCTTGCTGAGCGGTGTGTTACCTGGGTCGGCCTTTTTGCATACGCCTGCTCATTTAAATGTGAGCGTCACTATAAAACTAATCGATCTCATTCCCTACACCTCAAATTTGCATAAATGTAAAGGAATCGATCCAAAATCGATTAAATCGATTTTTTTACCTAGCCCTAAAAGTGAGTCTTTATTATTCCGCTTCAGTTATACACCTGTTCGTTTATATTATCACCATCACCTCATAATGTTTTTAGGTTAGTTTTGACAGAATTTGAAGACGTTTAAGGGATCAGAATACTTTTCTAAAGAACTGAATGTCTCATTCCTCTATGCTGAAGATAGTGAAAAGAACAAATTGATATCTATTTACTGCAGTTATTACAATACAAAAAATGATTAAATATAAAATAATAATAAGCTAGAGGTCTTGAGTTTTTTCAGTGTGTTTATTGTCTTGTTCCTTACATTTTTGTGGTTTGTATATGTGTGTTCAGTTCAGTGATTTGTGTGCTGTTGTTGGCAGGGTCGCGCCCTCCTGCACTGGGCCTGTGACAGAGGACACAAGGAGCTGGTATCTGTGTTACTGCAGCACAAAGCAGACATCAACAGTCAGGTGAGCAGAAATCCTGTCTCTGTTCTTTTAGGAAGGATTTCTTGTTAAGCTCAAATCTCATTAAAGCAGATAATTCCCCCCACCCAACTATTTAATATATTTTAATAAGGCAAAGCTATCTGAGGTGAATCTGTTGCATGTCTGCTAGATATTTTTATAAGTGGTGCAGTGTTTTTTGTTTTTTTCCATCTGTTCAGGTAAAGTGTGAGCTACCTGTGAAATCCCATTCCTCCCCATCACCCTTCTCTTTTGTCTCTCCATCCATTTTAGAAGGTCACCTTTAATTCACTTTGTGCCACACATAAATCCCTCAGGGCTTTAGCAGACACTGTTAGCTGGTAGCTAGCCTGGTGTTTAGACTCTCAGAGGTTTAGCAGCATCCAGAGGGCTTTAGCTTAGGCGTAAGCTGGCTCAGCTGCACATCCGAGAAATTACTCCTCTTCCCCCTGCCCACCGGCATGGCACGGCGTGGCTCACCGGGCTGCTCGCCGAGGTTTTAACTGCGAGGACAAATCAATTGGAAGTAATCAGGCAAATTGTTTTTACGTTGCACAACCCACATAATCAGGACATTTCACAAATGACTTTCTCTTTTGTGGTCATGTGTGGCCCCTTTTGTTTGTGAATGCTCTGAGAGGGGGGTGGATTTAACAGTGGAATAAGTAGAAAACAATTCACTGATGATTTACAGCCGCGCCGAAACAATTCCAGCACAGTTGGACCTTCTTTTCAAGATGTGTCACATTCGTAGTCATTTATTTCTAATTAAAATGAGCAATGGCAGCTATGAGAATCTCACGTTGTATAAAGAAAATAAATGTGTAGAAAAAAACCAACTTATTATCATAAAAAACTTATCATTTCATAATAGCTTCTATTCAAAACAGAAAAGAAATTTTCATTTTTATCACTGCTAATATTCTCTGTTTTTTTGTTTTTTTTTTGTTTTTTTTAATTGAATAAACTTCCACTAGATTGACTTGTAATTTTCAAGTTCTTGTCATTGTGAATATTATAGAGTAACACAATAATGGAATATGGGCAACTGGGAATATGTGATGTTTTATAATAATCAGTGCTACACAGGTTACATTTTAAATATACTGCAGGTTCATTGTCCTAAAGTGTGTCTAATCAGGACAGATTTACTAGACTTGGATAGTTTTATGAAAGCATCAGTGGTTCTAAATAGGATACATTTGAAATGCTTTACCAAGGGTTTCACTTTGGACTCAGCCTCAGTCAGTGTGGTTTCTTTAAAAGGAAACAATAGCGGCACATTTTCTGAGGGTCATTTGACACCACTCGTGCTGTCCTTAAGATGACCATCGGTGGTAGTGGTTTAATTAGTCAGGGTTTTAGCACTAAACTGCTTAATGATCTAATAGTTTGCTATCAAAATAGAGGTATGATTGTTTCCAATACTGGTTGAATTACATATATAATGTATTGTATCCTCCTTTCATACAAATTCTCTTTGCTAATAATATGTTTGGCCTGCTTAATAGACCTCCAGTTTCCTTAACTGACATCTTCTATGTATACTGTATGGTGGATGAGATGCTAATTTTCACAAAGAGGGTATTGTGATGAAAAAGAAGTGAGTTAAGGTTGGTTGATAATCAAAATAGTCACCAATAGTTCCACAATAACACAGGTTACCCAATGTAGTTTTAAAATGTCAAGAATGAGGGTTGCAAATGTCTCTTAACAGTCAGACTTCTCAGTCTTGTGAGTGAAGGAAATGTATGAAGGCTTTTATTTGAGTCTGCTGACCAGCAGTGCACAGCAACAGGTATAGAGGGGACAGTGATGTACTATATTCCATGTAGTCAGAAAAAACCTGCACCTTTTCTCACCCCTCATTGAAAGCACATTCAATTGTACAGAAAAGGCATTACAGAATTTTTTTTTTTTTTTTTGAGGGTTTATTAAACGATGACTGTGACAGGAAATGGTATACCTTAAAACCAGTAGCCAGGCTATGACTAAATAATTAAGCTTTGAAGCTAGTAACAATAATCTCACTTTCGTTGTAATTTTAGAAGCACAAGTTTGAGAACTTTCTTAAACCCACCTGTTATCAGCATGTGAATGTTAGTTATTTTTATTGAAGCTATTTGCTATTGTTGTGGCCCAGCTTTGATGACACAAAAAAGTGGAAATCCACAAAGGCCACAGATGCACCATGGACTTATTTCACGCAGGCAAAATAAAAAATGTTCCAGGTAAACTCCTTTAGTTTTCTCAGTTATTTTTTTTCCTCAGGCAAGCAAACAAAAAAAAAAGACAAACATTTCCTCCATGTTTCTCTTGTGCTGGTAAAAAACCATACGCCCACCCAGATGCATGCTGGTCCTACCATTGACTGCCTATTTATAAAAAAAAACCAACCCTAAATTAATCATAAGTAACCAAAAATAAAGGAACATGACTAAATAACCAAAAAACATAATCTCATAACAGATATCAATATTTATAACAATATATTGTTATAAATATTTATAACAATAAAGTAAAATAAACTTCGCTAGATTATGCACAAAAAAAAAAAAACATTTTTAATTATTAACAAAAAATAATTGGCTCCTACAGCTATTGTTAATTAGAATATTTTTTTTTTTCTTTTACTGTTTGTTTGTGAAAAACCTCGGAATTGTATAAAGGAGGTGTGATTTGTAGCCAATCAAAGCACAGAGTTAGGGTTAGTCAGACTAGATGGAGCTTTTAACCCACTGCTCTCTCAGCTGTATGAGACTCTGACAGGCTGAAAGTTACTGGGCATTCCCACTGGAGTTACTTGAAGCAGATTTATAAGGGGGCGGAGAGAAAAATACAGTGACTGTAACCGTGCCATTCTCTCAGGATTATAATCTCAGTATGTAAAGCTTACTGGACAATGCACTTCTCGTTAGAAAATGCTTGAGCATCTTCTACTTAAAGATGAAATGAGGAAGAAATAAAGAAAGGAGACAGGGAAGATAAAATATTTAATGAAGCCTTTTATAAGTCTGTCCTTTTCCCCAAAGCCTCCGACATGAAACAAAGCGACTTTAAGGTTGTACGTGTTCATGAGGGGAACAGAGGAATGTTGGGCTTGTTTTCGGGCTATTAAAGCATCCAGTAATCTCTCTTGACCTCTACCAACTGCTGAGCAACCAGTAAATAAAGATCAAACATGATTTATGCTTAATTTGTTGATTAAAAGAGGGAGGAGGGGGGTGGGCTTAAGAGTTAAAACAAAAAGTATTATTATTTGCTTGGCAGAAGAGGAAAATCGTTGGAAAGTAATCAACTGATTGTTTAGTGAATTGTTCCCAAACCCTGATAACCTGCATTAAGGGCTTGTTTTATAGTTAATCCAGGATCAAGGGACCACAATAGGTAGCTGCGTGAGTTTGAATATGCAGATCACAGATCTGCCACCTGCCAACTGTAGAGCTGGGCCTTGTGTTTGTACGGTATGTTAAACCTCACCATGTTCCCGCAGCTAATACTCCCTGAAAATGTGGGGCAAGCAGCGTGGCTAGTTTTGGTGGGATAAAAAAAACGCAGAAAAATCACATTTTATAAATTTTAACACATTTTTTAAAGCCTTAAAGACCCTTCTGTTCAGACTAGAATAGATAGAAGTAAAATAATAGAGTGTACATTTCCAGGCTGCCATCATTCCAAAACAACAAGCAAAATTAATCCAAGCAGCAAAATATCATCAATAGTTATCTATTATACATTTTCTGTTGGTATGGTCATCTTCAAGCATTTAGCTGCAGTATTTCAACAGGTATTTTTAAAATATGCCTAGATAAATAAAACATTTTAAACCCTGTATTTTACCATCCAAACAGCAGCAGGTTCTCACAATTTATTTGTGCAAGGGAGCAAGACCAGCTCAGGAACTGGTCCAGCCCACTAATTCTAGCCAAACACTCTGGCAACTTACATAGACAAGATGAAAATAACGCTGTATCATTGTAATTTGGGGACAGCTCTGATTAGGTTTCCAATGATTTCAATGATATCCAATTTTTCTCCTCTAGATCTTGATAAAGTAGAAAAGATGCTACTTTGTCTCAAAAAATGTAAGCAAAAGAAACTACTCAACTGATGGCAGAAAATAGAGTAATTTGGGTTAAAAGCAGCTCATGGTATCAAAAATTAACCTGACTCCGCCAGATGGATTTGCTCCGCATATCCATCTGGAAACCTTCCGTTGAAGTAATTTTGGGAAGGGGCGAAAATACTGGTTAGCTGTTTGGCCTATGTTGGTGATAGACGGGCCAAATAAACCAATCAGATCAACGAAGCATATGACGTACTAACAGAGTGACAAGAGGAGCCAATTGATTGATCAAACTCTTGCCGAAACCAGTCGGGAGAAGAGCAAAAACATCTTTTCCTCTGAGAAAAGCCTCCAGAGCAGTGTTTTGCTCTTCTTTCAGTGAAGAAATACTCTGTAATTCCGATAAAATTTGCTCGATAGCCACGCTAATGCTAGTTTCATCGGCTGAAGCCGCCATGTTGTTTAGACTGAACTGTCACCCTTCTCGTTGCGTCACACCTCAACCCGCCTCAAGGCCAACGCTGATTGGACGTTCGTTTGGTGAACTGCTCCAAATTTTCTTTAACGGAGAGTCTCCAGACTGATCTGCGAGTGAAACCTTGAAAGCTCGCGAGATCAGGAAGGTCTCACGAGGCTAATTAAAAATACCTGTAAAGGAAACAATAACTGTCTTCTTATTGAAGGAGTAATGTTGTGTTGAGGAAGAAACAAAAAAAACAAAAATCTGTTAAGAAATCATTTGAACTTTTGTTGACGTTGAATTAAATCAACTACATTCTCACTTGTAAAATAATCCATAACCAATTACACCAAACATATGTACTGCCAAAGAAAAATAAACTTTTTACCAGTATGGCTAGATTTTGCTTTCTCTATATAATTAATTGTCATTTTAGACCTATTTAGAAAAATATGCCACATTGAATGTCTGTATTCA